TTTTTTAAATTCAAGATCCAATCAAGTAGTTTGCATTACATTTGCTTGATCTAACTAAAATTAGTATTACTAATAAACATTTTTTTCATCAGTTCTAGAAATTCAGAACATGTCTACATTTGTATTTATGGCCTTTAAGGAATTAAGATTTTTAAAAAGACTGTTTTTCTGTAATTTTTTTGCCCCTCCACCCAAACACCTGTGCCTGTACCTCTCCTGCCCCTCTTTCTCTCTCTCACCCCTTCCACCCTTTCCCCAATTCCCTCTGGTAATTATTATCTTTTTTTGTGGAGTTCAATTGTTATTCCTTCTATTGTCTGTGTATTATTTTTTTTTAAAGATTTATTTGTGCATACAGAACTGGGGTACAGGCCAGAGGCTCAGGGGCTGTGAGAGGCTTCACCAGAGACAGAACGGGGAGCAGAACAGGCAGATCGACGCAGTGCACTGCTGAGAGGAGCAGCGGGCGGGTCAGGAGAGGTCTGCCACGCCATGTGGTCACCTCCTGGGCAGGCGGGAATCGAACTCATGCGGAAGTGGCTTTAGCTTCTTAGTGCAGTGCTTTAACCCGCTGTGCCACCAGGGAGGGCCAATTGTTTTGTTGGTCTGCAGATGATAGAACATGTCTGAAATCTATTTTTCACTTTTCCACTGGTTGAACTCCGCATAATAACCCTGAGCTCTATCCATTTTCCCCTAAATGCCACCATTTTTATGGAGTTCCCCAAATGCCACTTTAGTCAGATGATGGGGTTTGGTGTGTGGGGTTCTTGTGACCCTCTGAGAAGGAATTCAGTAGACATTCCCATTCATCAGCACATGGCAAGTTTATTGAGGAAAGGAGATCAAGGAAAGAGAGGCCTGCAAAGACAGAGGAGGGCAGTCTTACAAGGCAAGAGGGTGAGCTTTACCAGGGCAAGGGGTGTTCTTTTATAATGTTCTTTGATGGAATTATTGTGGAAAGTATCCCTGTGGGGTTGGATTGAATTGGTTTTCTATGACTAATAATCCTCTCTGGCTCCAGCTCTGGCTGATAATCATTTCTGATTCCAATTCAGACACCTGGAGACTTCCATAGGCCGGTTTAGCCCAAGATTTATTATTCATTCCTACTCCCACCTCTGCTTCTGTCCTTGTGAGACTGTCCACATGAAATTTTCTACCTTAAGATTCCAGTGGGTTCACATTTTTCATTTCTGTGTAACGTTCCATTGAGTATATGCTCCACAGCCCCTCTCTCCATTTATCTGTTGAAGGGTATTTGGGTTTGTTTCATAACTTAGCAATTGTGAACAGTGCTGCTATGTCCATAAGTGTAGATAAGTTTCTGGCATTGGAGTTCTCATGTTATTTGGATAAATACCTAACAGAAGTATTGCTGGGTCATATGGAATTTCCATTTTTATTTTCTTGAGAAATCACCATACCATTTTCCAAAATGCACCAATTTGTATTCCCACCAATGGTGGATGAGAGTTCCTTTTCCACTACATCCTCACTAGCATTCATTAATGCTGTTCTTTTTTATATAGACCATTCGTACAGGGGTGCAGTGATATCTCAGTGTGGTTTTAAATTGCATTTCCCTTATAATAAGTGATCTACTTTTCCATATGTCTATAGGTCATCTGAATGTCTTCATTAGAAAAATGTCTATTGAGGTCCTTTGCCCATTTTCTAATTGGGTCTAGTCCTCCTGTATGTGTCAAAATTGCTTAAAGGTAATTTACAATTTGTGAGACTGAGGTACAAGGTCAGAATATGAAGAAAAATACAATCTATAACAAAAATATATTATATTAATATTTTCACGTCAAATTTTATATCTTCAGAAATAAGGAAATTCAAACATCCAGATTAAACCCCTGAGGATATCTAAAAAGAAGCAAATGGAAAATTATTTATCTACTTGGTGTTGTTTATATGAAAAACAGAGGCTTTATGAGTTATGATTATGTTAGTCATCAAATTAGACTTTCAGAAATTAATTCATTAAGTATCACTTTATATTTGATAGAGTAATCTCAAATTACATATATTTTAGCAGGAGTTGAAATATGGATGAGTGACACTTTTTATAAAGAATATTTATTTATGCATACAAGAGCTGGGGTGTAGGCCAGAGGTACAGGTAGGTGAGAGGATTCATCAGAGACAAATTGGGGAGCAGAATAGGCAGATTAACAAATTACACTGCTGACGGGAGCAGCGGGCGAATCAGGAGAGGTCTGCCACGCCACGAGGGTCACCTCCCTGACTAGGTATCCAACTCATGCTGTACTGGCTGCAGATAGCTTCATAGTGCTGAGACTTAACCTCCTGGGCCATCAAGAAGGGCCGGATGAGGGATACTTTACAGCATACCTCAGTATGTGTCCCCCAAAAGATGAAATAATAGAGATATAATTCCTATTTACAGAAGACTGATATGCTAGGAACATCTGGGATCTAAAAATTAGGTTATAGGGGGAAATAAAAAAGATGAATAGATGAAATAAAAGGATTTTGAGGATTTGGGGAGTTTAAAATTATCATCTCTTACATATCACTGAACATAATTTTTATAAGATTTATTTTATTTATGCATACGGAACTGGGGTACAGGCCAGAGGTGGGGGGGGTGAGACTATTCACCAGAGACAGAATGGGGAGCAGAACAAGCTGACTGATGAAGTACACTGCTGCTGGTCAGGAGAGGTCTGCTGCGCCATGTGGGTCAGCTCCCCTAGCCGGTGATCTAACTCACACTGAAGACACTGCGTGACCCTCACAGTGCTTTGCTTTAACCTGTTGCGCCACCAGGGAGGGCCCACTGACACATAATATTAACAGGGAAGTTTGCTTCATCCTCAAATTTAAGGCAAAATATATTTGCTCATCTAATAGGAGATTTTAAAAATAGCAATGGGTTGAAGAATGTCAATGAAAATAGCTCAGCTCCCACACTGCAAGGAGAGAATACATTGACCCAAGACACTTGGAAGGCGATTTGCAATTCTCCAAATCTAGCCTACGGAAACATGCCTGGGGGCATGTATGATTATTACACAGTGAAAAAGGAAGAAAAACTCCAGTGTTCACTAGGAGAAGAGAATGACTAACACAGATGTGCCTATCGATATGCTGCTGGTAGCTGCTGAAAGGCGTATCTATATAAACAGACACGCTGACAGATGGGAACCATGCTGCACCCCTGCTAACGAGGTCAAGCTTCTCCTCAG